AAATTGTATTTATGTTTCACGTACCGTACGTACGGTAAATTATATATTCAACATGAACAAGTGTTTTCTCTCCGATATACGGACAAGCAGGTTGAATATATGAGGCAATTGTCCATATTTAGAAATCATAGGAAAAACCTTTGCAATTGTTGGATATGCCTTCTCAAACAAATCCATACTTCAAAAGAAAATCGAGAATTAAATTTTGGCGAAAAATGGCCGTAATCTTCCTATGATTTCTAAATATACTTCTTAATATACTTCCTTTATGAATTATTCAGTTTGAGAAATCTCTTTGAAACAGTTTTAATTGCCCCTGGGTACGATCGATTTGACCAGCACTTGAATCCTTGGGGTAGGGACACAAAATTTTGTTTGAATGTCAAATCCCGCCCCCTTGCCCCGCCTCCCCCCCCCCACCCCCCGCCGGCCTAACATTGATATGTGCATAATTACAAAACCTCATCTTGTTCGCTTATTGTTGCTATGCTACAACACTCAGGGAGGTACCGGAGGTGTGTCTTGCAAACAAAAACGTTTCCGGTTTACAAAAATGTTTAAATATTTCAAAATGAATATAATAAAGTGGAAATTGAACTTCGTGTCGTGCATTTTGGACTGAAATCAAACTTGTGATTACAAATCACACTCCCACTTCGCGGTCGTGCGATTTTGTAATCACGCGTTTGATTTCAGTCCAAATTGCACTCCACTTAGTTCAATTACCATTATATATTGGTGAGATTAAACGCCAATAATAGTGTACTGTCTCGTTCACTCGCAGGCAAAATAACGTATCAATTAAATATTCGAATTGTATTACATTTGAATGATAATATAGTTCACGAGCATCCATGCAGACTTAATATATACAAGTGTGGTGGAATATAATTAGCCATCAAATTGCCTGTGAATTAGTAACTCACGGAAAATGGCAAGCTGGATGTATATTTCGCTTATTTCTATGCTATTTTTTAAAACTATCAACAAAATGATAGTTCATTTGTTTCCACCGCCAGTACAATTGCGAGTTCAGTGGAGAAAGGTATGGCTGTGGGAGAATCTTGTGACTTCATTGGTGCACTCGATAATTAGTGCTACACTATCAATTTACAGGTAGGTTTTGCGACATATTTATGACTTATGTCTATAGTAATTTGCTATATACACCGACTCGAAAAATATTTATACATTTTTCCAAAATTAATTTCAGTTAAGGTAATCACTGTCACCTTGTAGAATACTTCATGATTAACAGTTTTACAAAGTATAAAGTATAATACTATATTATGTAAACTATTCTCTTTAAGAAATACCGAAGTTTATGCTAAATTTGCAAACAAACCTAACTTGTTTCTGTGCACATTTTAAAGATTTGTAATTTCGCTCACATAGATTGTTCAGTAACAATCTTGACACTTTAATTGCCTTAGTAGATAAGTCTGTGTTGAAGAGTAGTTTATTTACCTGATCTTGTAGTACATAAATATATATGGATTCAAAGTAGTTGCAGCTAGTTTTAGAATCGGTGAATATTTGTTGCAATGCCTGAATTTGATGTTATTCCGTTTAGCATATACATCACGCCATCAATGACCAGAGATATGATCAACACAAGGAATAATCTGTTATACTATACCCTGGCCATTTCCATTGGTATGTAGCAACTAATTATACTGTTTGGTGTCTTGCCAGTGTTTTGCCTAATGGAATTTCAAAAACGTTTTTCTTAATATCGCTATGTTTTTTATTCGCACTTTAGGATATTTCGTGTACGATGTAATTGATTTATCCGTTAATGATAGACAAAGATCGCTTTGTATTATTATTCATCATATGCTTGTAAGTGTTTGAATATGACGTATAATTTTGAATATGCCTATAGAAATGGGTTTTACTTCTCTTTTTGTCTAGTTCAAACATTTTGATGTATGTTGATTTTGTCGTAATTTGATGAAATCGCTTATCAATGTGGTTAAGTGCATGTGAACTACATTACTTACAGAAGCTGCTGGAAACAGCATGATACTAGTGATATAGTGTGTTTCGAATATAGTCGCTACGATACGAGTATATAATTAGAGTGATCAGCATTCCTGATATATAGGCTAGGGTGTATAAAAGAGCGCACAGTTCTAAAGTGTCCGCTAAACTGAAAATTCCGAAAAATTTGTGACAACTTTATGTTCTTGTGGGTAGCTTGGAGTCCGTTCTGGTATCTCTATGACAAATTTTCCGAAAAGTAAGACTTAAAATGGAAGGTTCGGAACGCAAGTTTGGTGAACTATCAAAATACCAGATAATTTGTATACTTACGTCTTCGGTGCGACCTCTAAAAATTGGATTTTTTTGCCATTGTAGCCTTTCACGCATAATTTAGTGCACCCACAACGGATTTTATGCATGATTGATTTTTACATTCTCTTTACAAAACGTTTAAAAATATGCGTGATCACGAAAGGCTATATATACTATATGCTGGCGGAAAGTCCATTCAAGTTTTAGTTATAAAACACCTTTTAACCTACCATTCTTGTAATATGGTATATTTCATAATAATTGTGATAGAGATTCCAGAAGACCCCAAACTTGGGTTTGTGGTATAAAGTGGGCAAAAATGGTGCGGAATTGTTTTTACCTATTGCTATAATTTTGAAGTGAAAAAGACGCGTCCCCAAGTTCAACCTGCACGAAAGGTTCTAGAAAATATTGTAGGTATTGCTGAGTGAACACATATGAACTACAGGGTCGAACTTGCATACAGTGTGCATACAGCCAATAGATGATTTATAGACTTGATCTAGGCAAGAAGAAAAAATCCATCGCCACAGCTAGGAAGAGCATGTTAAAATTAGTAAAATTGCAAAGTTTGGCCGCGAAATGTTGTAAAATGCCTAAATATGGTGCATTTTGCCGCACGTAATACAAATTAATACAAAATTTGCAAATTTTGCATGGCTATATTTTCCGCATTTTACAACATTTCGCGGCCAAACTTTGCAGTTTTACTAATTTTTTACATGCTCTTTCTAACTGAGTGTCATGGTGATGGATTTTGTTCTTCTTGCCTAGATCAAAATTTAGTCTATAAATCATCTAATTTTTTACATGTTCTTTCTAACTGAGTGTGATGGTGATGGATTTTGTTCTTCTTGCCTAGATCAAAATTTAGTCTATAAATCATCTAATTTTTTACATGCTCTTTCTAACTGAGTGTGATGGTGATGGATTTTGTTCTTCTTGCCTAGATCAAAATTTAGTCTATAGCTGGAATCATCTGTTCGGTTGTCCTATACTTATCTGAACACCAGGAACTGGATGATGGATTGATCCCTTTCAAATCAATCAGCCATGCAATTTTGAGGCCAGAATTTTATAATGAAATGAGTTTTGTTCTGCAAAATCTCTGCGAACTAGATCGCGACGTGTTTAAATTAGCTACATTATCAAGCAAATGCCTTTTTCTGTTTAGCTCTAAGCGCGATAATAAACAAGCCCATTGTGTTTCCGAGCTTAGAGGTTGAAGCTTTGCGGTTGTGAGTTTTGACCTTTGCAGGCCATGTAATCTTTATTGAAGTAGCTGAATATTTCTGATTTAGCTTTGAAATAGTCGAATTGAAATAAAAAGCTTTGAGAAACAATAGCTATTTTTTGTCAGTAACAGTGCTGCAATGCTTCATGAAATATATTTTCTTTCCGGTACAAAGTTGTATAAATTTGTCAAATTTCTTCAGCTCTCAAAGAAATGTTTTAAATTAATATTGAACTGCGCTCTAATGATCTTCTATTTTCTTTTTATAGGTGTTATCTAGCTTTCTTCTTTGTGTGATAGGTAATAAGCTGCTACCGTTTGCAATCTTTGCACTACTGGTCGAGGTGAACAGCATATTTCTTCACACTCGTCGCCTAATGCGCATGTCCGAATTCGATCCGAACGGAGTGGCTTTTAAGATTAACAGGGTTTTACTTGTCATAACATTTATCAGTTTTCGATTTATTAGTTGTGTATGGGTGACTATCCGTCTTGTGATAAATCAACATGCTATCAATCGATTTATTTTCGCAGTTGGATTCGGTGGATTGTGCATAGCTATCGTGCAAAATTTTTTCCTGTTGCAACAACTTTGGTCAAGTGATGTGAAAAGTAGTAACGACCATATTAGCCAGACCCAAAATAGAAAAACTGCTGTAGAGAGGGACTATAACGCAAATAAAAGAAGTGGTTCAGAAGACCTGAAAGATATATTAAGAATGACAAATACTTGTCACCCAACTGAGTGAAAGAAATTATAAAGTGCTGTCATGGATTGTACAGTAAAAATCCACATAAAAGAACCATTATTGCGTTAATTTAAGAACCGCTAGCTTGACATTTAGGCAACTAAAGTGCTTCCTGTATTAGTCTTGTTGGACCAACTTGTTGCCAGTATGTTACGTACCATCATCAACCTTGCAACAAGATGATAACTTGTTCCATACTTGTCGCAACAACTGAGAACAAGGCACGAACATATCCTGATATCGGCTTGTCAACAACCTTGTTACAACTTGTTTGCAGATCTGAACTTTTAGTATAGGTAATCACACGGGAAGGAGTGCAATTAATGATTAACACTACGAGTGATATTTGAAAAATGTGCCAAAATTGCATGAGCCGCCGAGGCGAGTGCAATTTGGCACATTTTTCAAATATCACGAGTAGTGTTAATCATTAATTGCACGACTTGCCCGTGTGATTATTTATTTATTATATTCATCAGTGACAAAATGGCTTTCTTTATATTTCAACTGCATTTTGTCAAGAGTTTTTAATTCTTTTGTAAGCAATTTGGTATAAACAAACTTGGGAAATAATCATAAACTCATAAAGGCACATAACTTAAACAAGAATACAAGATTCAAACTCAAATAACATATTTTAGACTAAGAAAATCTTTATAAATTGTATTTCAAACTTACATAGTCAGGTTTCACTGCATCCCGCAAAGATTATTTCTTAAGACTCTTTCCAGGTATGTTTCACAGGCTCTTTTTGCCATACAATGTTTCTTAAACTCATTCTTGTGCCAAAATTCAGTTAAATTCGTCCACATTTGTTAGAAATACTTATCTAAATTTCGCCGCCATATTGGATTTTGTTGTTTTGATTTCCCGCTCCCCCCAGCCATCACGAAAATCATTACAGTGCGTCTACTGTAAGTGGGGCCACTTAGAGAACACTAACCAATCGCATTGCAGAACAAAAAGAAAAATCTAATCAAACTAAAGCTCGTCCAATCAAAAGAAAGATTCAGGAAGCCATTAACTGCAGTGTTTACTTTTATAAGTCTATTTTTACCGTTTGACATTCGTTTATTTGTTCGAATTGTTTTTGCCCTAATGCTGATTGGCTAATGCGCCGTTTGTTGATTTTTTCGCTTTCTGTTCTGCATTGTGATTGGTTAGTGCTCTCTAAGTGGCCCCACTTACAGTAGGCATGTTGTAAAACCTGGACTGGACTGGACTTGTAAAACCTGGACTGGACTCATTTGTAAAACATGGACTGGACTCATTTGTAAAACATGGACTGGACTCAGAACAATAGAATTTGTAAAACATGGACTGGACTCATTTGTAAAAGCTGGACTGGACTCATTTGTAAAACCTGGACTGGACTCATTTGTAAAACCTGGACTGGACTCATTTGTAAAACATGGACTGGACTCATTTGTAAAACATGGACTGGACTCATTTGT